ATGCAGACAGGGATTCAGAGGCCTCCACATTAAATGAGCAAGAAGAATGTCACACCTCAGTGATCAGCTCTGTGGCATCATGTAGGGACAAGAACAGACTGACACGATGAGCAGTTGGACTAGTGACACAGCACATGCCTGCTGAGCATGTAAAAAGTTCCTCATTCCATTTTCAGCTTGCCACTCTGCTAGGTAACCTGCTGGGCCACATCTGCTGTTGAAATTTGCAGAAGGGCAGGCTCAAGACTGACAGCCACTAGGATAAGAGTGGTACACAAACAGCAAAAGCTATTAAAGCATAGTTTGCAAAACCTGTAACTCTCCAAAGAACACTCCAGCTTTCCAAACAATTACCATGTAATTCCTTCTCCCCATCTTGTATTCTGGCTGACACCAACAGAAATTTGTAACACCTGACAATAATTGGTTACCAAGACTTATAAAAAAGAAATTAACAGAAACAGAGAATCACAAAACAGTCAACATCAGATTGAGACTCTGGAGATTTCCTAATACAACGAGGAATTAGGGCAAGTTGCTCAGATTCAAGTCTAGTCATGATATGATCATCCTCTTCAAGGACAGACTCCAAACTGTCTGGGTCACCTGTCCTAGGTATCTGACAAACCTCACCATAAAATAATTACATTTAAAGGAAATTTTCTGTATTTCGATATGTGAGCATACACACTGATAAAACTTGCCTTGAGGCCTTCTCTTCTCCAGGCTGAAGAATACCAGCTTTCTCAGTCTCATAAGAGACACTCCTACTCCTCAAACTTCACAGTCATTTGCTGGACCTGCTGAAGTCCAGGAGAGTCCAGGATCGGACAAAGCACTCCAGATGTGTCACTCCCCAGAGCAGAGGTGAAGGATCATCCTTCTGAGCTGCCACTTATTCTTTCGGAATAGAACCCAGGAAGCCATTGGTGTCCTTTGCCTCAAGGGTACATTGCTGCTCACGCTGAGCTTGGTGTCCACCAGTACCTCCAAGGCCTTTTCTGCAAAGTTGCTTTCCAGCCAGTTAGCACTGATACACACAACTATCCCTCCCCAGGGGCAGAACTTCACAGGATTCTTGTCAGTCCATTTTTTCAGCCTTTTGTCTAATCCACACTTCATCAGTTTGTCAAGGAGGAGATTATGGGAGCCTGTGTCAAAAATCTTACTACAGTCAAGAAAAACACCTCCATTGCTCTTCCCTCAGCCACCAGGCTAATCTTATCAGGTTCATCATGCATGATTTCCCCTTCATAAACCCATGTTGAGTAGTCCTACTCACCTCCTTGTCCTTTAAGTGCTTGGAAACCCTTCCCAGTATTATTGGTTCCCTACCTGCCTGGGGACTGACAGAAGACCAATTATCTGTAATTCCCCAGATCTGCCTCCTTGCACTTCTTGAAGATAGTGGTGACAATTGCAGGAATCTCCCTCAGTTGCCATGACCTGTCAAAGATACTCAAAAGTGACCTCACATCAGTATTAATCAGCTCATTCAGAACTTGTCAGTTCAGTAGATCATACCAATTGCTGTGGGCTTGGGTATACTGAATGAAAGTGTTCCATATTCTGATCCTCACCCAGTTATAGAATGTCTTCATTGCTTCCAACTGATCACAGTGGCCTCAAATTGCTGAAGGTGAGTTTTACCAGTAAAGGCCATGATGAAGGCAGTGAATACTTCAGTCATTTCCCCATCCTCTGCCAAAAGATCCTCCTGCTGCACTCAGCAGTGAATCCAAATTTTTTTCTCATATCTGTTTACAAGTCCTTTTTGCTGCTCTTCATCTCACTGGACAAGATTCTGGGTACACTGTGGCTTTTCCAGTGCTATCTTTTAATAACCTGTGTATGTTTCCTCATCACCTTTCCCTGCTTCCAGCCCTTCTACATTTGTATACAGAAGTGGTTAAGTCATGAAGAGACTCAGACTCAATGCTTCTTCCATTTCAGTACCCCACCATAAGCAACATTTGGTTTCAAGTGATTCAATTCAGTTCCCAAGGGATTCCTGGGGATATACCCCAGCAAGCTCTCTACAAACCTGAAAACCTGGCTCCTAGTTAAGGGAGCAGCAGTCTTAAATATTTGAGTATGCTTGGCTGAAGCACTTCCTACTTGATGATGACCTTCCCTGAACACGTTACAAACATTCCCAAACAATGTCTCATCTTTTCCTCCTCTCCATTTCCAGTAAGTGATGAGACGGAAGTCCTGCAGTGCTAGAACCTATTTCAAGTTCCAAGTAGAGGGCTAAGGAACAAGTAATAAACATGCTTTAGTGACCACTCTAAATCATAGGGTGTTCAATTTTCTATTGCTCTAGATCTTCTATTACAAAGACATTACCTCTTCATCACAGCAGCTCATTAGCATTCACTTTGAACATGATTCCACAGGATGTCACAGAATACTGTCAGGTCATGGTAATTCAGGCTCCTAAATTACACACCTGGCACTGATACAAACTTCTTGTTTTGTATTGGACAGTGAAAGGCCTCCTTGTTCCATTCTTATTCCTCACTGATAAAGTAGAGGTTGAGGTATACGCACAATTTGCTCAACAAGGGAACAGATCCAGAGGTTTAATGATTTTCTGAAGTATTTTGCCATTCTCCCTAACAAGGAGTTTACAGACTGCTGCTCCTCTTCTCACTGAAACAAACACCATTTTCAGGATAATTAATTTTTTAAAAAACTTATTTCCAAAAGTATGAAAGATATTGCACATTCAAGTAATTTATTAATCTGCAGTATTGCATTAAACCATGGCTTTTTCCAGCAGTGATTTCAAGAGCAGTTGGAAGTCCAGGGTGCTAAAGACTGAAAGTAAACAGGGTTAGAGGAAAGAAGTTAAAGTCTGTGAAGAATTTCAGATATCCAGACAGAAAAGCATTATTGGAAAAAATTCTGCAGTATCCAATCATTTCATGTTAATTATGAGGTAAATATTAATTTCATACATTTGAAAAGGCTTGTTTGTTCCAAAAGCATAACATCTCTAATAACCTGAGGAGGATTAGCATTTTAAACTTCTGAAGTCACTTAGGAAAGGAGACAAAGCTGAAGAGGAAACCAAGGGTGGCCTCTGCAAGAAGAGGCTTGTCCCGTGCTGGACACGATTGGCTCCAAAGATCCACTGCAGGGCACAGCTGAGCCCCTCAGACACGATCACAGAATCATTAGGTTGGAAAAGACCTTTGATCATCAAGTCCAACCTATGACCTAACACCACCTTATCAACTAGACCATGGCACCTCAGGGAAAACATGCAACAAAGAACCAAACTGCCTGGCAGTGAGGGGTGAGAAAAGAAGCGTGAGAAACAGCCCTGTGCAGAGCACCAAGGTCAGAGAAGATGAGGAGATGCTGCAGGCACCAGGGCAGACTTCTTCACAGTCCCTGGGCTTCCCTGGTGGATGAGGTGAACTGACTGGTGGGGTGCCAGACATACCCCTGGCTGCTTTCTCTCCTCAACAGGATGGGGAAAAAAAAAACTAGTATGTAGTATCTTGTTGGTCAAGATAAATAAGTAACCAGGAGAAGCAATGGGAAAAACTGAGACAGGATGTTGCCACAGAGGGGAACAACTACATGGAATCCTTCGTGGTTGTAAAGTGGTGAAGGGCCAAGAGTTGTAGTAGTAGTTTGTGTAAATTTTTAACCTTTGTCAGTGTTGTGGTGACATTTTGATTTAAGTCTGGGGATTTACACACATGCCACCAATCCTTCAAGATAATGACAGTTTAATAAGTAAAGCAAAACTGCACATGCAAGTAAAGCAAAATAAGGAATTTATTCACTGCCTCCCATTAGCAGGCAGACATCCGGCCACTTCTTGGAAAGCAGGGCCTCAGCATGCATAGCCATTAAGATAAACACCATCATGAATGCCTCTACTCACTTCTCTCTCTTTCCCTGAGCTTTACCACCAACCACATCATAGAGCAGGAATATCCTTTTAGCCAGATCAGATCAGCTGTCCCAATTATGTCACCTCCCAACCTCATGCAGACCCCCAGGCTCACTGGCCTCAGGCAGGACTTGGAGTGAATACTTTGATGCTGAGCAAGGGCTATCAGGAAGAAAGTCATCTCCATCCCTAATTTCATGTTATTTCAATTTGCATTATGCCCAAGTCCCACATTACTTAAATATATTGTGTAATCTCTGACTATCCCATCCCTTCTCTTTGTCATTCCTGATATCCCTCCATACCAACACATGTTCTCCACACTTACACCATACACTTTGCACCCATCAATCAGAATGATATATCCTCATTAACTAATATCCTCTGTCCTTTAACAGAGGCCAAAGCCAATTCTCCACACCACCGTAGCTGGCTAATAAACTGTTTCATTTAGACTTCAAAGCATAGAAAGGTCTTCACAAAGAACAAGCTGTACAAGTCACTGGTTTGAAAGACAGAATGCTAGACAAAGTGATCTAATACACCTTGCCTTCAAGTGTACATGCACATAAGGGTGTAAAATCTAAAGGTGGCATTCAGTCCTTCACAGAAGTCTTTGCAACCACTGAAAATGTCTTCATCTCAGTGTTCTGAGAAACAAGTTTCTCTCAGGAAGGAGCACAAAACACTTTTACTTTAGACTTTTCTTTCTGTATCCTCTACAGGATGATGTACCAGTTCTCTTTGTTACTTTTATCTCAGTTTTCCAACTAAGCCATTATCACTGTTAGATAGCCTTCATAGATAAGAGCTAAGTCATGAATAGTCACCACTATCCAAGCAGCAAAACCAGAAGAGAGCAAAAAATATCCAAACTAAACACAACCTTTAAGAAGTCTGCTCTCTTATTTTCATCTTCTCCTGCTAAACAGAGATAAAGAATGTATCATACTAAGATCTGTCCCTACTTTTATCTTACAGAGAACTGACTGCACCCACAGACGTTTAACCCAATCTTGTCCTTGCTAAGACTGGGCAAGGAAAATAGGATTGGTTTAAAGCTGTGCCTATAAGCAAAGGCTCTTACCTGCATTAGCCCAGGGAAGATACCAGGGGCAGCTGACATTCACGTAGGTGCCAGGCAGTCCATCTGGCCAGCAGGCATAATCATCAAATGTTCTGTTGCAGAACTTGCCTTCTGCAGAGAAAGAGAAGGGAGGCTCATACCACTGCCTTGTACAGTAAGAAGGAAAAGACTGAAGAACAGAATATAAAAGAAAATACAGAAAAGAAAAACATGCATTTAAGCTCCAACGTGGAATTATATGACATTTATTTATCCAAATGAGTGATTTTATCTTCACACAGATAACTGTTGTTTCAGGGAGTAACTAAGGAAGAGATTCAGGGACGAACTAAGGAACACTGACTCAATAGACAAGTTTCTTAAGTAACAGATTAATATTAATTTATCAATCCTTTTTTTTTAAACACCCTTACTTGCCACAGTTTATAATCATTTTTGTTGTGAACACTAAAGATAATAATTCCTCAGAATGCTTCAAATTCATGCAGCTGGAAAATCTACCCTAATATATAGGTCCACCAATGAAATACCCACACACAACCATAACTTTGCATTACAGCTTAATCAACATGAGAATACCTCAGATTCATTAAACTGTCATTCTTAGAGGGCAGCACTCAACTGCTCAACACAATAATGCAGCAGAAGGAGATGAATGTGTCCCTGCCATTGTCATCAGCCACTGCTCTCACTCTGACATAATAATGTAGTTAAGACAAGGAACATTAACAGTTTTGAAATAATTCTTCACAGGTATAACTTTAGACACCTCTTCAGTGTGTCACAAAAGCACTGAAGCAGAGGAGAGGCTGCATGGTGTCCAATTGTGAGCATAATTGACAAGTCACCACTTGTCCTCTAAATACCATGATGCTGGCACATCACAGAAGCTCCCGGCACATTACAGCAGCTCAAACACTAAGACAAGCTACATTCTCCTTAAGTCACTTGCTTTTTTTTTCCAAAGCCATTTCAGCATTTTGCAAGGCTCAGAATAATTTATGCCAACTTTACAATTCACAAACTTCTAGTTCAATGTGAGCAGCATGGTTCCAGATTTCCTAACACCTTGACCCCTAAAGAAGTTTCAGGTCTATTACATTACTGGCTGTTTAATATGGCACAGCTACCACTTGCCACTGCATAACACTCTGGACCTAAGGACAAACATCTTTACAATGAAATTGTTCCATAAAACACTTCTCCCCAGCAGAGGGAAGAGTCCCACAGAGAGCAGGCACGAGCAAATGGGATAAAGAAGCAATGGACCAGAAAGAAGTATATTCAAGTTCATAATCACTCCCTTGCTACTGTTATCATGCATTTTAAAAATTAATACATCCTCTCCCTACCAAATCAGCTTACCTGCCACAATGGGGGGTGTCTCATACAAGTATTTCTGGCACTGGAGCTGATACTCCTTCCATTTCTGCACAACCTCAGAAAGGGAGCCATCTGAACTCTGAAAGAGAAGTCACGAGTCTCAGACATTGCAGGATTTAAACTGTAGGGTTCTTCACACAGAATGAGTAGGTCAGCGTGGAAATGACTACAAAAAGCCAGAACAGCACTGCTTATCACAAAGGGTACAAGATGATGCTACGTATTTGCCTAATTTCAACAACAAAAAAATTCCCCTTCCATTTGCAGAACAAGGAAACAAAAAAAACCACAAACTATAGTGTCCTCACTGAAACCCACACTGAGCTAGCCTTGTTCTCTTGAACATGCCCCAGTTGTGTGATTTATTATCTCATGAAAAGACAGGGACAGCAGTAAGTCCTTTATTAGTAGAGGTTTTCTCTCCAACAGCAGTATTTCTACTTTCCCATAAACGAAAACAATTTAATTCAACATATTCAGCGGATATTCCCCACACATTCTTCCAAAACGTGGATGAAAGCTTTTCCAGCCTTTTTCTTCTTTGATGAACAGCTTTTCCCTGCATCCTACATATTTTTCCTGCAACTGCAGAAAGATGTAGAGCCTCCTTTTTGGACATTTTGACAGCCTGCAGGTTCCACCATCACCTACCCTAAGCAGTGAGGGGGTAGGGGAAAAGTATGTACAGACTCGATCTGAGGACAAAGGAAATTAGCTATTATTAGAGTGAGCAGCTAACTCAGGGCTGGCTGCTCACTCAACCCTAGCAGATGTCCTCCCTGGCTCACAGAGATCCAGCTTTACTCACTGCGTTTGAGTAGAGACATTACTCCTTCTCCCCCCTCTTTTTATTTGTATAAACCAAGTTTAAATATCCGGATTAGGAGGCTGTAATTGAGCAACAATGCAGGTAACTCAGCCTTCTTTTTCCAGAGAAAGCCCCATGGATGTCTCAGACATACAATCAACAGTATGAACCTAATGGTACAACGCTAATGCTGCTGAGTGGAAGGAAGTTCATTTAATCCCAGATGTCAATCAGTTTATTTAGTGAAGCATGAGGGTAAATAATCCTTGCAGTTTTACCCTCCTAGCTTCAATGGCTAATTTTTATTTTCCACTTGTGCTTCTAAACCTTTTCCAGATGGTTAGAATAAAAACAGAGTATGGGAAGTTATTTTAAAATGAAGAAGTAATTTTAAAACTCTACAGGAAAGTCAAATTAAATCCTGTCCACTACAACCAATATGACTAAAATTTAGACACCAATACAATCACCTTGCAATAAAAGAAAAGACCTCTCACGTCCTCTTCTTTTATATCCTTCCAATTAAAAATCCATTTGAAAAGAAACCAAGCACCACATGTATAATGCTCCTGCCTGGATTAACCCACTACATTTAATTACAAATATGGTCTTGTACATATGACGGAAAGTACACCATTTAGTAAATACCTGTGTTGCGTTTCAAGAGTAAGTACCTATTAACTTGTAGCTAGGGCCTTCACGGCCGTAATTTTAGATTAACTTAGTTGGCTCCCCCTGAAGTCAAAACCAGCACAAGCCTGTGGATCTTGGAAACTCTGACCTTGTTTACCTGATTTAAATCACCTTATCTATGGCAATAAATGTTGCAAAGCCTGTCTATTGTAAAACAAATGGATTCTACTGAATGGAAAAACAAACCTGTAGCATAGTGATCCATGTTCGACATACCTGAAGGGGAAAGAAAACATCACCTAAATGAGATCTACAGGTGTGTGTAGAGAAACAATCAGTAACTAAAACTCTATTTACATACCTATGTAGGCTGAGTACTGATAGATGACCTGAATACAGGGAGAGAAACAGTTTGCAAACTTGTTTCTCCCAGGCTGTCTTTAGAAAGTGACTTCAGGTTATATGTCTTTTAGAATCAGACACTCATTTAAAGGTCTTCATTTTACAACTATGGTTAATTGAAGTTACCAAAGACTTTCACTATCCTCTCAGCACCAGGTTAACACTCAAAGGAATTTAAAGGAACATTTTCAGGATGAATTCTTAAATTACAAGTCAGTATAATTTCAGAAGTTACTAAACATCACACATCTTCCCAAAAAGTAACTACTGATCAAGCATGTTGATGACTACATCAAGTTAATCCAAACTTAGCTTTTAAAATCATTACAAGATACAGATGCATACAGAGTGTCATTTAGAAACAAGACTACCTTTTAAAATATCCTGACAATATCCTAACACTGCTTACACTAAGAGAAGTAGCCCTTTTGGAATCAGGAAGCTTTAAAGTCATTTTTCTACAGTAAGCTTTCATCTGCCTTCATGAATGCAGAAACAACCAGCTTTAACTACAGCTTAAAAGCAAGCCTCTATCCCATAGTTTACTGAAAAAGTAAAAGCATTCTACTTATACTGCTTTTTCATAATGTGAGAAGATGACTAAGATTAGCAAACTATAAGAGTGAAATAATTAGACATATCTATAGTTTGTTGCAATAAGACAATCAAATATAAATTCTAAGACTATATAATTTGTTCTGTCTATGCAACAGTTCACTGTGATTCAGCTAAATACTCTGGTTTGTTATCAGACAAGTTGACTTCAACTTGATTTTAATATATGCTACTTTCTATTTCTCAGAGCTTATGGCCTACACAAACAAGAATCACAAGTTACACAGAGCAACAGATTTACCATGTGAGTAGTTATTCAGATACAAGATACAGTATTTTCTTGAGAAGTTATTTAAATTCTTCTGCAATGAAGCACTAAATGAAAGTATACAAGGCCAAGGTTCCTGGGTCAGTACCTAAAATCTGGAGCAAATGCAAAGTGTTAAACTCAGAACTAGGTTTTCACTGCTGAAAGCATATAGTTGTGGTTTACTCAGAGGTTTTATTCCTGTTATATTCAACCATGGGTGGAAAAACAGCAGTAGTTTTGTTGTGGTGAAAATATATCACAGAAGGATAGCAGAGAAGATGGAAACAGAGCTGACTGGCTGAAGTGGAGAAGTCAAAAGGCATGAATGGATGAAAGACATTAAGGAGGTGAGTGAGGTGCAGCCTAATGAGCGTGAAACAAATGAAGAAAAATTAGGACAGTCAAGAGGACAGACTGGGAGCCTCTCAGTGTATGTATGCAATTAAGCGCAACTAATCTCTAGTGAGCACACTCTAAATTATCACATTTAACAGTCTGAAGTCAGAATTCCTTACAAATCCTTAACACCCTCATAGCAAAGTCCCTTTCTATCGCAATCATTTGTCTTCACAGGCCCTACTGTAAAGGTAAGTCTTTTAATCACTTCTCAACAACTTTGAAACTATTCCTGTTGAAACAAAAAACAGCATCCACACAGATGCAAGGTGAACAATGCCACAAAAGCAATATTCTAATACAGTGAAATCTGAGCACACAAGGTATAAAGCCTCCCTATAAAATGTACCATGAAATGGAATTAAAGTGAAAAGGAGATTTCTCAGAGCTTCAGAGGCAACTGGTGACTCCCTGGGATTACCTTCTCTCTTCTCCCACCACCACATATAAGGTCTCACATGCAACAGAATGACAAATTCCTCCTTACACTTGTATTTCTTTTGTCTTTGCTTGTCTCTTTTTAAACGGGACCACTTATGCTACAACTTTTTTATGTTTTTAGTATTTCAGGATAACAAGCAAGACTTTGCCTTGTTGCTACAGACTCACATGTAACATTACAACCACTGGGACCTCCAAACTGGTAGTCTTAATTTTCAAAGGCAAATGATAAGGAACCTGGCATTGAAGAACAATTTCACGTGGCCCAGTTATTCTTCCCTTGTATAGTAATGCTGGAACATCTACCACATGAGAGGAGGATTCAGATTATATTTACTGCCTTTTAGCTCAGAAGGGTGCTAGTGAGTTACTTTTAAACTTCACTGCCCTTTTTTGAAAAGCCAATGAAACATTATTTCAAGGCTATTCTGCTCAGGATCAGCACAGCAACTACGTGCACGACAGGTGAAGATTACACACTACAAGCCTTCTGCTCCTTCTGACTTGCAACATTCTGTCTGGTATAATACAGATCTTACTGAATCATCACTTAGGTAACATAAGCTATAGGTTTGCATCAATACACCAGTGCAGAGCAGAGCAGGACAATCCCCACCCTGGCCTGGCCAGTGATGCTGTGCCTGATGAACCCCAGGACATGCTTGGCCCCCGTGGCTGCCAGGGCACTGCTGACTCGTGTTCAGCTTGCAATCAGCCTGGAACCCCAGGTTCCTTTCTGTGCCACTGATTTTCAACATCTCATTCCCCAGTCTGTCCCTACATCCAGGGTTGCCCCATTCCAGGTGCAGAATCCAGCACTTTCTCTTGCTGAACTACATATGGTTGGTGATTGCCCAGCCCTCTGACTTGTCCAGGTCTCTCTGCAGGGCCTCTCTAATTTCACGGGAGTCAACAGCTCCTCCCAGTTTTGTACTGTCTGCAAACTTCCTTAGTATCCCTTCCAGTCCTGTCCAAGTAGTTTATGAAGATGTTGAAGAGCATGGGGCCTAAGATAAAGCCCTGCAGAAACTCACTAGTGCCAGCTCCCCGGTCGGATTCCAGCCCATTCCCTGGAACCCCTTGTGCCCAATCCATGAACCAGCTGCTCACCCATTGCATGATGTGTTTATCCAGTTGTGTCCTGGATATTTTGTCCAAAAGGATCTCATGAGAGACAGTATCCAAAGCTTTACTGAAGTGTACTGCACTAAATTTGGTATTAACAGAGTCCTTTGACTCACTGTTCACCTCATGACAAAACAATCCTGTTGAGGATCAGTCCTTCAAGTACAACACTTCTTGAAGTGTGGGAGAAGGCATTATTGCTCAACCCTCACTCTCCCAAAGAGATGATATTCAACCCAATTTTATAACTACTTAGTTCAACTTCTGTGTAATAAATTAATCTAAATCCATTATGTGCAACATCTCGCAGTCCAGTTACTCTCCTTTAAGAGCTGAAGCTGTGCCAAAGGAGGAGAAGGTACATCAAAAAATGATGTCTCTACTATAGATAGTTTAAAAGAAGTATCATTACAGGTACCCTTTTACAGAGATCATAAATTAGACCATACCTCAGGACTGACGTTCCCTAGATTTCTGTATTTATCACATTCTCTTCCCACATTACGTTGCCCAGTATCAAGTTTAATGTAGTCATTTGACATTATGCAACACTAAGTGACCCTCTGAGATAAAGTCATTACTCTCAGTCCCTTCTGTAGGGCTGCTTGACTGATCAGATGATATAATATTAATTATGCTTCCCAACTCATATTTTACAAGATACTTCATCAGGGGCTGGATCACTCTGTACAAATTCCTCACCCTTCAGAAAAAATAAACAGGATCAAAACAACTTATCTTTCAGAGGGAAACCAGCTTCTAGGAGCTTTTCCTGTAAATGCTTCTGTTCCTTAGTTACTAATGAACCAATTATTTCAGAAGCTCAGGAGTGCCAGAAAAAGAAACCTTTCAGCATCCTCCCTGCTAGTGAAAAGCAAAAAACGAGTTCCCTCAAAAGGCCCTACTGAATTCAGGGAGAAACTCCCTGGTGACACCTGCCAGCTGTTCTTGCCCTTAGGCTGCAGCAGTTTAGTACTTTTAAGTCCTTCAAGAAAAACAAAAAGTCTCAGGACTTCGATAAAGGCAAATCTTGAGAACAGTACTTCACCATCTGTCCAAGCATGGAAAGCCCTCTGTTCTGTCACTGACTTCAAGTTCCATGACATCAAGCTTTTGAACTCAAAGCAGCAAGAGGAAACTCTCATCAGACACTTACATATGATCAACGCACAGAAAAGACATTCCTCTGTCTTCCTCTTCAGAGCTGCTCAGCCCAGATTATTTTTCTTTTGGTGGTGTTTGTTGCTGTCGTTCTTTTTGTTTGTTTTAAACCAGTGGCTGAATTTCAGCACTCCTCTCTCTCTCAGCTGAAAATCACCACTGCACCACACAGTCCCTCATCCTGGCCCCTTCCTGCCTTCAAGCCTTTTTCTTTTCTCTTTTGCACACCTTCAGAAGGAAGGTTTGGCTGAACTCAATCCCACAGTAGCCTACAATAGCACCTATAAGGGCTCTTATCACCACCAGTGGTTCCCATTCCCCTCCATTCTTAAGACCTGTTGTCACTAGATTAAGGAAAAAAGAATAAACACAGGCATCTCCTAAAAGTCTAAAAATGCAGAATGCTTCTGCACAGAATCTCAGTTAAGGCACTTTAAAGAACAAAACCAAAACTCATTTGAGGCATGCTCCTATTTCTTGGTACTTCTGCACAGGGAGTTCCTAGTTCAGCTGACTGATCATTCCACAAATCATTTCAAATACATGAACTGCCTGAGCAGGCAGGAGAGTTCAGCCCTAACCACAAGGGTTTCCATTCCAGGACCAAACACTCCAGGTCTGTCCTGGGATCTTTCATTTGTGCTTTGAAAATAACCAGTTTTCCCAACCCTGAAAACTTTGTTTTGACAAGGTGCATCTCAATGAGAAAAATATCTCTTGGCCCTGTAACTTTCTGGATCAAGACAAAGTATTTGGCATTCAGAGACCCAGATGTCTAAGCAAACTTTTAAAGACCTAAATCAACTTGCGTAATATACAGTTTCAAAATAAAGGGAATAAAGTAAAGTCTAATACTTCTGCATGCTATAAAATTTAGCATCCCCTTCTAGAGAAATAAAATCAAACTCCTGTAGGTCAAGTAAGATAGTTTGAAAATGCAGGGAAAACCTGTGTTTATAGGGTTCAAGTTTCTAATGTCTCTGTCTCCAGTGATGGACAGACCTGGGATAAGAACAGTTACCTGCAGAGTTTTTTTGTCCCATGAAGAACTTCCCAAGGCTGGAAAGATTTTTGTCCTTGGTGACTGCAGGACCCATGAATTCACATGCTCACTGTTGAGGCAAGTACACATTTAGATTGGCAGCCCGGGAAAATGTTATTTTCATTACAATGTCTTTCATCTGTTCTGGTAAGTGTTCCTGTCAAGGATGTATTGAGCCACTCAAAAATGCCAGAAGGAAACTACTGAGCAACAATGCAGAGGAACAGAAGAAAAATGCAAGATTCAAAAGCAACTATAACTTACAAACTCTTGGAGAGAAGAAAGCAATCCAACAATTTTAGTGGAAGACAGCATATAGCACTCATGAGAATTACATTATCATACAAGGAGATTTTACTGTGCATTGCAAATTTAGACATATGCTTACTGAAGTGCTCTTTAGCAGAGGACTTGTATTGAAGCAGTCGTACAACAGAGCAAGCAAAACAATAGTTTAACATGTATTTTTAGACAGATACACAAGGTATAGCTCTAGAAACATCATGGAATGAACAAAGGCAGAGTTGAACGCTAGAGGAGGAACAGAAGCTACGAAACTGAAAATGAGAGCAGAACTTCATATCTATGCTCACAGATTTAGAAACAAAATTCAGCCTTGGCTCCCAGAAGAGCAGCTCAGTATTTCATTAAAAATTGTGTAGTAACACAGAATCATAGAAAGACTTGGGCTGAAAGACATTTAAAGATCATGTAGTTCTAATATCCCTGCTGTGGTCAGGGACATCTTTCACATAAATCAGGTTGCTCAGAGCTCAATCTAACCTGGCCTTGAACACTTCCAGGGATGGGACATGAACAACTTCTTGGAGCAACCTGTTCCAGTGGTTCACCGTACCAATTCTCATACACAGTAATTTCTTCTATCATTCTACCCTCCTTCAGTTTAAAATCTTGTCCTACAACACTACAAGCTCTGGTAAAATAAATCTCTCTCCAGCTTTCTTATAAGCCCCATTTAAGTATTGAAAAGCTATCATAAGGTCTCCTCAGAGCTGAAATAAGTGCTCTCAGCCTTTCTCTGTAGAAGTTTCAGATCACTTCCAGACCCAATCTAGCAGGTCTATTTCTTTCAT